AGAGTGCAGAGAAAAGCACTCCTATGAAGAGCGGTGAAAGGAACTTGGTCTGTTTAGCTTAAAGAGAAGCCTAAGGGAAGTCAAGAAAGAAGTTTTCCAATATATGAAAGGATATATGAGCATCCCATCCCACCACGCCGTTTCAGATTGTTCACCACCAGGATGCATTGGGTCTTCTGTGGCGCCGGATGAACCGGCCATGCAGAGTTAACGCTGCTGCTGTAACAACGAAGGCTGAGGCACGGGAGGAGTGGAAGACTGCGCTCCTGACATCCTTCAACGGTTGGGAGCTGGGGGTCCCCAGGATCGATGCAGTCAGCCACGATTGGCTATTACGCCCCTCCCGAGCATTCCCCTGCCTGTATCTAAGGCGGATCTAGTTGAGGGGCGGCGTGCTCCCTATGAAATAAAGGAGTGTGTGGGGTGCCGTTCGCCAGACCACCAACAAGACTTGTAAGGGAGCCTGCCGGGCCCTGGAGACGATCAACCACGTTCTGCAAGTTTGTGAGGTGATGCATGATGCCCGATGTGCAGCGCCTGGATCAATTCCTGCGATGACAAGGCCTCCGTCCAAATGTCAAGCCCATCATAACATCCGGCACTTCATTCATTAAACCAGATTTATTTGTGGAGGCAATAAACCGACTCTGGGTTGTGGATGTCTCCATAGTGTCCAGTTACCGAATGCGGGAGACCGGGGACATCAAGGTCTCCAAATACAGACAGCCTGACCGCGTCACCGATATTCACCGTTGGGCCGCTGTTTCCCCTTCTGCCTCGGTGCACCTCCCTGTCATCCTTTCTAACTGGGGACTGCTTTACGAACCATCTGGCGCTGGGCTATGGACTTTGGGCTTGAGCTGCAGGGATTGCATGGACATTGGTCTCCTAACCATCACAGGCTCGCTCAAATGTTATGATGTTTACATGCATGGAACTGGGAAAGGTTGAGTCTGGATCTTGGGTGACATGTGATTAATGACACTGCCATAAGCGGCAACTCCTCTAGTGTGACCATCTTTAGCGAATTTTCACTCTCAGAGAGGTTCGCCCCTCTGATAATTTATGATAAAAAGAAACCTAAGGGAAGTCAAGAAAGAGATTTTCCAATATATGAAAGGATATCACAGGCAAGAGGGAGTAGATTTTCTCTCCCCAACACTTAAGACAAGACAAGAACCACTGGGCAGAACCTTTATAGAGATCCAAACTTGAACTAAGGAGGAATTTCCTGACCATGAGAACTATTAAACAAAGGAAAAGCCAGCCTCCTGAATTTGTAGGTGCCCCATCACTGAAAGGATTCAAGAAAAGATCAGGCAACTATTGGTCCAGAAAGGTATGAGAATTCCTGCCCAGTGCAGGAGCTTGGACTGGAATCTTCCAAGATCCCTTCCTATACTATGATTCCATGATATACTTCATCTGGTAGATGACATCTACCATTTTCCATGTGCTAAAAAATTAAGAAAGGATTCTTATACGTTCTTCTTACATCAATCCTCCATTATCCTAATAAAATGGAATTAATTACTCACAAAATTGGAAGGTAATGTCCTTGGTTCCTACATCTGGTATCATTTGCAAGGATTAGTCTACATAACACCCTCTAGTTTTGCACTGCTAATTACCCATGGATAGGCATCTGCTGCATATGCAACAGCCTTGGTTGTTAGAATTGAGCAAGAGAATGAGCAGATGCCTATCCATGGGTAATTAGCAGGGCAAAACTAGAGGGTGTTATGTAGACTAATCCAGTGACCCCCAAATTTTGGGCACCAGGGACGGTTGCACAGAGTAAGGTTTTCTAGCTTCTTGCATGTTATGTGTTCAAACTGTTGCTTCAATGATGGTCAGTTGAATTTCTTGTCACAGTTCATCTGGCATCTTCTCAGCAGATGTCCAGCAGTTCAAACTTATTTTTTACTTTAGTTGCATAGGGATTTTGGAGATGTCTAGACTCTTTTTGTTGTTGCATAATTTCACTCTGATCTTAGCCACCAACAATTCATGATCTAAACTGCAACTGGCATCCAGATGTATCTTGTCAGCAAAGATTGGACTGGACGATCGATGGATGCACAGAATATAGTTGATCTGATTATGGTGCAGTTTATTTGGCATTGTCCAAGTGTATAAGCAACATCTGTGCTGTTTGAACCAGGCATTCATAATTCAAAATCAATTTTCATGGCAAAATATTGAACCAAATTATCACTTGTATCATTCTTCTCCCAAGTCCAAAGCTGCCAGCGATGCCTATTTCTGCTTGGCTCCCAATTTACACACATCCAGTGTGTAAACAATATCTTTTGGGGGGCATTTGTTTTAGCACTTTTTTTGTGCTGGCATACAAGCTCTGTTTCAAGCTCTATTGCACCAGTTGCTAGGGCATAACTTGGACAATTGTGATGTTGAATGGGATAGATTTGGATAATATGATAATTAATCATTAAGAAACTTTCCACTGCTTAGGCAAGTTTCTTGCTTGTGATAAATTCCATTCCATTTATAACTTATATTGAATTAATTCCTCAGAATAGAAATATCTGTTGTCAATCCAGCGCCACTCATTGATGCCAATGAGGTTGATTTTGAACCTGGTCATCTTTCACTGGATATCAAATTTATGTTGGCTCATTTCTTGGACATTCCACATTACCTTGGCTCATTTCTTGGACATTCCATTGTATATAACTTTGTTTAATTCAAATATTTTCACTATAAAGTGTATTTATTAAATTTTACACACAGGGCTTATAAGCCATTTCTTTCTACTAACTCTTGTGGCACACAACTCCCTAATACACATCGGGGATTAAAACTGATTACTTTGAAAAACAGTAATTAGAAATGTTCCTTTTTATTGTTGTTAATTTTATTGTGAATAAATATTATACATAAAAACTTCAACAATAGTAAAAAGAAACCTAATCTCAAAACTGAGAGGCTATTACAATGCACCAGTTACTCTGGCTTGGTGGAAATTTTTCTCAGTTTCCTAAATACTAGAAGGAAGGCTTGATCCACATCAGGAGGAGTGGTATTTCAGATCAAAATGGCAACCGAAAAGGCATGGTTGGTGTGGTCGCTGGAAGTGAGTCTCTTACTGAGGGGACACACAGTGGCTCTGACCTACTGGATCATATCATGTGAGCAAACTTATTGGCAGAAGGCAGTCTGAGCTTGAGCTATAGCCTCAAGAAGAGCTATAGGTCCAGAAGCTCCCCCAAATTGCAGACCAACTGCACCCAGGGGTATAATCTTATTCAGAGTTAGCAATGGAATTTCATTGAAATTAGCAGTCCTTCAAATTCACAGCCACTCTACTCTTTACATTAGGACTGAGTTCCAGCCTGTTCTTCCAGCCACCATCCTCTCCAATTTACAACCAATACCTCACCACCTAACCATTCTGCCAATCACTAGGTCAATAGAGGGATCCCCTTTCTACAGGTAGTCCACAGCTAACATGGTAATTAGCATCAGGAACTCTTGTTGCCAAATGGCCATAGTGGGATGTCACGTGACTCTGCTGACTTACAATAGCAGTTCTGGCAGTTTTTGTTGCAATTGTTAAATGAATCCTGTGAGGCCATTAAGCATGACATCGTACCACACACAAATTGCCACTTGCAACCTTTTGCCAGCTTCCCCACTGACTTTGCTTGTAGAAGTCCAGCAGTGAATGTCGCAAATGGTGATCATGTGACCATGGGATGCAGCCATTGCTGTAATTGGGCAATGTGCCTGAATTGTAATTGCAGGGGCGCTGCAATGGCCACAACTTTGAGGACTGGTCATAGGTCTTCTTGTTCAACACCATTGTAACTCCAACTAGTCACTGACTAGTACTTGTTAACCAAGAACTACCTGACTTATCTATTCCCCTATCTGTCCCACTCTCACCAAGGTCCAAATAGGAAGAGTTCAGTTTACTCCCTCTATAGCCTTATAATCCTTCCCTCTTCCAATTTTTTTATTCTTCTTTTCTTGTCCCATCAGTACATTATTCTAGCCTTCTAAAAACAGTATAATTTCTCTAGTAAAGTAATCCTCATCATGCAGTGCTTGCAGAAAACCACAATTATCTTTTTTCCCGGAATAGATTAGTACTCTGGGAAGCAGGAACATGAGTCTCTCTCTAACCCTAGGCTCTTGTCAGCAATTAAAAAAATGATAATATACTCTGGCAGATACAGTCACCCACAGTTATATTGGGGCTTAGTCAACAAAGGCCAGACTCTCAATGTTTGCTGATGATGATCTTGTTTTGGGCCCAATCCCGCACAGAATGGCTAACATCAATCCAGTCCAATTCCTTACTGTTTTTCCCAACACTTGGAAAATATAATCTGCTCTGCTAAACACCCACCAGCAGCAGCTACAAGGCTCAGACAGGGCTGCCAATAATATTGTTTGGATAGTCCTAAAGCCAATCCAGCTCATCTCTATCACTACCTCCAAGAAGCCCTGACACCAACATAACCCAGGGCAAGGTTGGCATTCCCAGGCAAGGTTGATCATTTCTCCATCTTCTGAACAAGTTCCTCTCTCTCTCTCCTCAATCTCAGCTTCTTAATCCCCAGCTACTCCAAATGTCCTTTCTGGTACCACTGCAGCAACATTTCTGACCACTCAATCACTTTGATTAACTGTCACACTTTATAATAGATTATTTGTTGTTTTGCTTTTTCTATTTTTTAGATTTTTTTTTGTTTTTATATTTTCTAACTTTTAGGATTTCTGTATTTTTCTCTCTCTCTAAATTTTCTATAGCCCACCATCCTAATGCTGGTCTTGGGCCAAAATAAAGGTAGATTGAGTGATCAATCATGATGTTTCATATAGTCCACATAACTTAAAAGTCACCAAGTTTGAAAGAGACTGTCCTAAAAGGTGGCATAATTCCCAAGTGTTAGTGTATGTGTATGCCAAACTAAGTGAGTGCCCAAAATCCTGGGAAGAAATAAATATATGTCAATCTGGTCACATGCAAAACATAGCATATGTTTTAAAATAATTTCTAGCATAGCAGCTGTCCTTACCTGGAATATCCTGAAAACACTTCAGTGACAGATGGGATCTTCATCTTTTTCAACACTTCCTTTGCCATTCACTATTGTTCTCTTTGTGATGATTTTCTTGCCATCCACAATTTTGCTGGTTGTGATGATGGAGCGGAATTTGCCATTTTTGCCCCTGTTTAGAGACGTGATGGAGGAGCGAGAGCAGCTCCCTGGGATGTTAGAACCAAAGGAAGTGAAACCAGTTCCTGCAATGGGGGAGACGCCCGTGATAGAAACCGAAAAGCTCCTGTCAGTTTTGCTTCTACTTCTGCGGGGATTTAGCTGAAGCCCAGAAAAATCTTCAAACAGATTGTCAAAGATATCTTGAGAAAAGGAACCCATCTTTATGTTCAGGTCGGGTCTGAAGAAGCTGAATTCAGGGTCCTCCTGTCTTCTCCCATATCGTTTGTCCCCATGGCCACTTCTCTGCACATTTCCAACTCTATCTTGTCCTCCAGCAGGTTTTTTTTCATTTAGCTTCTTTTTGCTGCATTGGTCATAGGCATCTCGTTTTTTAGTATCAGATAAGACCTCATACGCTTTAGAGATCTCTACAAATTTCTTTTCAGCTGCTTCCGGGTTTCCAGGATTCTTGTCAGGATGTACTTTTAAGGCCAACTGTCGGTAGGCCTTTTTAATATCATCTGCAGATGCAGATCTTGATACTCCTAAAACCTCATAATAATTAACCATCTTCTTTAAATGTTGATAACAATAGGTTGGTCTGAGACAAGTAACTGAACAAGATCTAGAGGCCTTTCTGGAGTTCTGTCAGTCTCACAGTTGAAGTGTAAAATACATTTGAAAGCAAACAAAAGAAACATCCACTCAGAAACCCCTGACCCATAATACTGTTAAATATATGATATTTCTACATGCAGTATCATGTCAGGGCTTTTGGTAATCTTAACTGGGGTAATAACCAATCAGCTACAGAGAAGAAAACTGTTGATTTCAAAATTATTCAAACAGTTCCCTGTAAAAGATTGTGACATCATCACTAGATAAGCTAAATAACGGTTAGATTTTGTTCATTTGCATACTGCAGCCCCATTGGCTCTGGGCTGGATTTAATTTATCCTGCATACAAATCAATTACAAGATATGAAAAGATCCATATTATTTCACAAATTCACCCCAGCTTATTACCAAAACCTACAAAGCTGTAAATATCAAGCAGAGGTACAGCACTCTGGCAATTGAATTTGTAATTTTAGTGAACGGCACATCTGCAAAAAAGAGACTATGGAGATGAAATTTCAAATTTTGATTAAAATTTATTTGAAATTTCATCTCCATAGTGTCTTTTTTACACTGGCATGAAAATCTGAAGTTGAATGGAGCACAGAATTTAACTGAAAGGAATATTTCAGGTATAAATAGTTTTTGCCTTTTTGGTGGTGGTAGGGATTGGCTAATGTTTCCATTTTGTGTAAAAATCTTTCTGTTTAATGATTTTCATAACTTTATCTGCCTGTGTATTTAAAAATTAAATGACATCTGAAGAAAACAAAACAATTAAGCACACGTGCCGTTTTAAATAAATATCTTGAATTTACATCTCTTGATCCCATTAACTAGTCTCTTTCAAATGCCGTTTTAGTAAGATGAGTATCACGCTTTCCAAGTCTGTTTCTAAAGGAGAATGTTTGTCCTCAGAGATATTTATTTCAACCAGCTTAGTGGAGGGCAGATCAGCAGTGCCAATCCATATCAGCCCTGTCACCACTAAGGTACATAATGGCCTCCATGTTTTATGTAACTTTAATAGCCAAACATTGCAAGAACTCTATGGTGTCACGTCTATAGAGATTCTCAATCATCCAAGTCATGGTTGTCCCAAAGGTGCTTTTACAAAAGGCAACAGGACTTTCTTTCTTTTTTTTTCCTTGAAAATATTTTGCTTCTCATCCAAGAAGCTTCTTCAGTTCTCCGAATACTATGTTCTAAATTTTGTTAGTTGAAATTTAATCAGTCAGAAGAGATTTTAAAAATAAAAATGGACATTATAGTTTTTAAAGATTCTAATATAAAAAGAAACACTTTATTAAAAATGGATTTTTTAAAATTAATCACAGAAGACAACAATTAATTATTGCAAGAGAGGTGCACTAAATACGCTCAACCCCATTAACGTAATTCTGGATAGTAAACAGTTGAAACTTCACTGATCTGTTTTAAAAAAGAAAATCCCCAGTCAGGGTATTACAGCGGTGAATGTATTTACAAGTAAAAAATAATAAAATTCACATAAAAATCCATACAAAAATAAACAAAGTTAAAAAGACAAGCCCTCATGTAGATCTTCATTTTAGTTAACAGTGCGAAGCCTTAATTCTTCTGAAAACCCAGCAAAGTGAGGACCAACTGCACCTCATGGGACAAGGACATATGAAACATCTGAAAACTGAAGGTTTGCTTGGAACATTTACAATTCCTTATCTTTGGAAATTTGATATCACAAGTCAGCAAACCAATTTTGGGATCCTGTTTCAAAACTTGGAGCTGATGCCAGTTCCATTACTCATCCTGCTGTTTTCCTTGCTGAGTTTCCTTAGCAATAAAATCTGAAGGGTACTTAAAAAGAGCACTCAGCTAATAATGAGTCAGTTAATAATGAGTATAGAGGAATAAATAAGTGCTGCTGGATTAGCATCTTTTCATTAGACAGTTATAGCACCTAGTGACAATTACAGGTAGTACTTGACTTACAACCATAATGGAGCCTACACATTATGGTCCGAAGTCATGACAGTCATAAAGATCATCCACATCACCAAACAAATTTCATGAATTTCCTTTTTTGTGGCAATCATTAAGCAAATTCACGATCATTAAACCCATTATTCACTATGGTTTGTTCATGCCAAAAACTGAGGTAAACAATGTTTTTCAGCAAAAACATCGTAAATCACTGTCACATGGTCACAAGATACTATAAATAGCCATAAATGTGAGCTGGTTGCGAAGCACCTATAATGTTGTTATGTGACTGCACCCCCCACCGGCTGTTGGAATTTTGGAGCTGAGTTGTAAGTATCTCTGGGGAATCTATCATAACTTTGAACAGTCACTAAGACTACTTAGTCACTAAGTTATAAGACTACTTGTATGTAGTGAAAAACCTGTCACCTCCTCCTTCTCCCTTTCATTCATTTCAGATGTGTTGGTGCCAACCTAAGGAAGTCTATCAAGGAAATGACCAGACATTGTCTTGGCAACATTGTGTAGATGATTGACATTCCCATACTCATTTTCTACCATGTAGCTCAATTTCAAAGCGCCAACTAATTCATTCCTAATTGCATTCATTGAGTGCTTATTTACTTATTACATTATTACTCTTTTCATTTATGAGTTCAGAGTACAGGCAGTGTGTGTGTGTGTGTGTGTGTGTGTGTGTGTTTCATTTTACTCTCATAACAAACCTGTGAGGTACATTGGTCTTAGCACAACTTGTCCAAGGTGACCCAATGTTATTAAGAGATTTGAACTTGGATCTTTGCAATGCCAAAAATATGCCTGTAATGGTCTCTACTCTGAAATCTCCCAAGCTGGAAATTAAAAGTAAAAAGCTTTGTGCAAACAGACTTACCTGTTCTTGAAAAGCATTTGCTTGTTCTTCAAAGCCCACTGTTCTGAAATAATTCACCACATCTGTAACTGCCCAGTCAGCTGGATCAGGAGGTCTTCCATTCTCTACCAAGCTATGGAGTTTTAAGAAATTCAAACAAATTGGACATGGACATAGAAACTAGCACATATGCTACTCAACTGTTCTCTCAAGAAAAAGAAAACCATCAGGGAAAACCATCTTATTGTTGATATAACCACCTTTTAAAGACCTTTTAAATTACCTTCTTTGTATGTCAACGAGATCACTCTAGATCCTACCTCCTCAAAATCCTAAACAGCCATTGTCAGTTTGGTATTTGTTGGACCAAATTCCTACCTCAGGGCTGCTCTCCCCTCTCAGCAAGCCAGGCCTGGAGGAATGCAAAGAATTGTGGGCGAGCGCCAGAGAAATGTATGTTGGAAATGCCAACACACATTTCCAGCACACTCTCCTGTCCTGAAGTAGGATTGAGTGGGGGGAAGGGAGCAGGAGGAAGGGTAGGAAGGAAGGAGAAACCTAACTGGGTTTCCTTTGGCATGGGGTGGGGTGGGGGGAGACCAAATGCCCAGACCAAAAGACCATTGAGGAAGATGCGTTCCTAACAACCAGCCTGTTTGTGCAGGTGAGAGCTTTTCTGGGCTTGACACACACACCCTTCGGCCTCCACATGAGGAGGGACCTTCTCTGCTTGGAAGTGGCGGGAGAAACCTGGAGCTTAGCCTGGGGGGGGGGGGGTCTCGGGGCCGGGGGCCCGAGGGGGGGGGGGGTTGCCTGGTTATTAGGAGCCCGTCTTCCTCAGCGCTTTCAGCCTGGCCCTCCTTCCCTCCCCAAATCCAGACAGCCACACCTGGCAAAGGAGAAAGAGGTTTCCTCTGACTTGGAGGAGATATGAAATGACAGGAGACCAGATTGGAAGGGCTCTGCTTTCCTTCCGTTTGAGGGGGAGCCGTTTCCTCTCCGTCCATATTTTTCCAGTCTCCAGGCCCCTCTTTCTTCTCAGAGAATGAGAGACGCACTTCCTTTCCCTTTGCTCTGCCCCACAATTATGATTAAGCATTTATGATTTTGTTATAATTAAATAAGCATATATATAATAGTAAATTTATATTTAATATAAAAAATAAAAATGTTATATTAAATATATTATTTTTTTAAAAAAATGGTATTAGGTGTCCTCGGGATTTAAAAGTATGACTTTGGTAGCCCTGAGGTCCAAAAGGTTGGCGACCCCTGATTCAGAGCAGAGATGGATATGCAGACTCTGTGATAGACAATCAGGTATATTCCAGCTGAGTTCACAGCAACACAGTTGTAAGCGAAACATTATGTGACTGTGATAAGACTTAAGATGTCGTTTTGCATTTGGTTATTAGGTGAGACACAGTGGGATGGTACCAGTTCATACCTATTCGCTAGAACCAGTTGTTAACATTCTAAGCAGTTTGGAGAACCGGTCATTAGAAGAAATTACTGGCCTAATCCTGTAAGGAAGGCAGGAAGGAAACATTCTGGTGTTGCTTACAGAAACTGCCTCTCCGTTAACCCTTATTACATTCTTGGCAGGACTAGACTTCCTGTCTCAGGAAATTCTCTGGAATTTTTTTCCCTTCCTTTGCTGGTATTTTGCTTGTGTGGAGTGACCATTCAAAGTTACAACGGCATTGAAAAAAGTGATTTATGACCATTTTTCACACTTACGACTGTTGCAGCATCCCCACAGTCATGACAGGCCAGGCAAGGAGATGCGTGTCTCAAAGTGAGTGATATTGAGTTGGCCATGCCCAGTCAATAACATGACCACCAAGCCACGTCCACCCAGTCACATGACCACCAAGCCACGCCCACCAACTAAGTCACGCCCACAGAACCGGTGGTTAAAAAATTTGAATCCCACCCTTGGTGAGACATCTGCTGTTTTTACTGCAAGCTTCTCCATTGACGCTATCAGTTGGAAGCTAGTTGCAGAATAAGCAAAACAGAAACCACCTTTGCACTTTTTATTTTTTCTAGTTTCTTTCTTTTAGTTTGTTTTAGTTTCTACTATTGCTGTATAATTATAATACGATTAATTTTTAAA